GGGCTTTTTTGCGGAAAAGCGCGTCTAGATTGGCACGGACACTTTTCCGCAAAAAGTGCTTTTGTGGAAAAGCATCCATGCCAATCTAGATGCTCTTTTCCATAAATGCTTTTAACAGAAACCTTTTCTGTTAAAAGCATTTGCAGAAAATCATGCCAGTCTAGAGGTAGCCACTGGGTTTGGCCACACAACTACAGATTATCAATGCCAGACCCTTAATCCTCAAGTCAAATTAGGGTTCACTCTAGGTCTTATAAAAACAAGGGTTCATTAAATCTATCATCAGTCCAAACATTTCCATTATTTCATTTTAAACATCCCCTGGAGATGGTTTTGGGAGGAGGGGGTGTTTATTTGCTTTGGCTCTAAATTTTATCCCTACATTGCATGCTCGCCCTAGCATTGGAGCTCAGATGCCACTATGGTGAGAAACCAAGAAATAACTTTGACAAAAAAAACAGCGTTAGATCACGAGACCCAGGAAGTGGAACTGATTAGCCACCAAATACCTGACCAAGGCAGTTTGTGTTTCTTGTGTGCGGGGAGTGAAACGCAACAACGAAATAAAAATAAATAATCACCATAAATTGGTAGAGTGTAGCTTCGAAACAGTCTTAAATCAAGGAAGCTAGGATTGGGGACATAGAAAATGAGATATAGCTACATATGCATTTTAACCTGGTCTTTAAAAAGAAAAACTAACCCACGGGTGGGATTTCCTCCTCTTCCCACAAAAATTAGCTTAACATTTCCCGTGTAATAGCTTCCGGGCTGGTTTTATTCATGGTAGTGAAAAGCAAGGGAGGAATGTAGAAACCCAGCCCAAGGCGATCAGGGAATGTTTAAAAAGGCAAATGGAAAATCTGCTCCCCGTCCCGATCACTGCACCTGGAAGGTGAGGGTCTGACAATAACCAAGGGGTCTGGAGGAACAGTGGAAACAAGGCTGCATTACTGCGGAGACTACGCGGCTGACGGAGTGTCTTTTACTCACCTCCAACGCCTGCTTTAACACCCCGGACTTTCTTGAATTTGGGTGGATGGAATTTAAAGGGAGGGCAGATAAGTGATTATTAAACAAATCTCTCGTTTAAGTCTTGCTTCAAAAACACGCGCCACGTATCTGGGAGCAGACCTGGACTCACCTTTTAAGAAATGGACCAGCTTTTTTCCGTACAATCAGCACACACAAAAAACAACAACAAAACCCCCCAAACCAACCCCTTCCCAACCATGTTGTGCGTCTGACTTCATTGCCCTAATCCAAAGGGTTTTATTCAAGTAGAAGGTGGGTTATTTAACTTTATATTGGTTTCAATAAACGCATTCTCCATGATGATCGAATACAAACCTCACAGAAGGGAGGGTCGGAATTGCTTTGTACGGGTATGACTTCAGAGCTGGGAGGGTGGGCTACGGTGAAGATTCAGCAGCGGGTTGGCCTTCCCTTTGTTTTTTAAACCCGCAGGTTCTGGAGTACTCGTGTGGAGTGCGGGGTGTGGGTGGAATCCTGAAATTGACTTAAATTGCCTCCGAATGCTTTTTTAATTACAAATACACTTTTCATTATTGCAGAAGAGGTTTCTTTGAAAACAAGAACAGCGCAGTGCGTGTGAGTGGTGGGTAGAGGAGGCCTGTGTAAACCGTCAGAGAGTTCCATCAATTTCAGACTCCCAAGATAAATAGTTACCATCCGACTGTGCCTTGCTGCAATCGGAAACACAGAGGGAGGGGGAGATTAAAAGACAAGCGCGTGCTTTTTATTTATCAGTTCCTTTCCCAAAATGTAGTTGCAGGGTTGTTTTGTTTTGTTTCCGAAATCAGGTATAATATTAAACGCTTGTGAATTTCAACTGGAACAGACTCAGCGGTGGAATATATTCGTAACGAAGGAAAGTAGGGGAGGGAGTAGGAAGTTAAGAGGAACTAGGAGCTGTTTAAGCAAGTCCCCCCCCCTTTTGGTAAAGAAAACAAAACTAATTATGTACACAATCTCTTCACCCTTCCCCCCAGTAGTGCAAAGACTACAACCATGTGTATTAAACAAACCCTTAGAAAACGTAAATTTAGTTTTATTCTTGCTGGGAAGAATGTACGATTCAAAATTCAGCATTTTTTAGCTTGATTAATTATTTTTGTCTCATGCAGGTTTAAAATAAAGTGACAAAATCTAACCTCCAACAGCTTCACTCATTAAACCATCAGATACATATCTCCTAATCATAGGAGACACCCCTGTGATTTTTTTTAATCCGGTTGATTTTGGAGGCGTGCAGCTGTCTTCTTTGGAAACAACTCTAAAAATAAAGACGGAGTGTAACCCCTAAAAATGCTTCTGCTGAGGGCAGTGGATATTACTGGGAATCCAGGGATGGGAAACTGCCTTCTAAAAGTATCTTACTCCTCCAGACACTGATCTTTCTCTTCGAATTTGATGCAGGGACTGCTTTAAAAATTACCTCTTCTGCATAATAGAGTGCAATTCTAATATACACCAAAAACCAGTTCTCTGTTAATACTGCCCCACTTACAGCAGTAACAAAAGATTCGCCGGTGCTCTGATCCGGGAACCATTTGCCGCCCAGCCAGTTAGTTGTTAAAAAGTGGCAGCCAAAAATACATACGATTTGTGGGTACAAATTATCGACTTTTTAATAAGTGCATGTCCGAGTTGGACATTACGGGTTGGTCAATACCTTTGATCTCAAGGAACTTTACGCTTGCGGGTCAAAAAATGGCCAACGAGATCCATGGGGCGACGACCGAGAACTGTGCATGAAGAAATCCAGACAGGGCAACAGTTTGTATTGCGCTTCAATTCCGCTAGAATTCTGCGGGAAGCCACGTGGATCGCCACCGACTTTGGCTTAGACTTTCAACAGTCTCGAACATCTTTCATTTTCTATTTCCGCATCTCTGTTTGTAACAGTGGCAGTCATTAGAGGGCCCAGCCCTGCATCGATTCCTCAGACAAAACTCCCCCCTCCAGCGCTTAGGACAGGGCTTAAAGGGGATTTTTTTCCTTTACTAAACACCCTTTGGTTTAGCTTTATATCATTATCTTTCTCCTTTTTATATATAAAGAGATTACATGTGGACAAGGGACGGGGAAATCATATTCTGAAAATCTAGCGTAGTGTAACCGCAGTGTCGTTTTTTGAATCGGAGAAAAGAAATGATACTTGTTACTGGCCAGTCAAATACTTATTACTGGCCCGAAAGGAAGCAAACCCGTGGTTTAATTAATGGAATCACAGACCTAATTTAAATAAACAACTGCATGCAATGTTTAGAGAGTTTGGATTGTTTTTTAAACCGGTGTAAACTCAGCTATTTAATTGTGAATCCCCAACCGTCCCGTCTGTTCCAGACGCACAACAGAACTGCAGTCTCAGAAAGGCAATCGACTTCAGAACATCCACTCGAAAGGATTTTGACACTTTGAATCGTACATACCAGTTGATACTTTTGGCGTATTAAATATAAGACGAAAGTACACCTACTTCTGTCGTCATATAGATATAATATATTTCACTCTCACCACATAAATACAAAACATCCAAATATCCAAAAACATTCAGAACAGAAGTTA